CGATATCTCATATCATCCAAGGAACGCCATCAAGTCGCAGGTACTTGCCGACTTCATAGCCGACTTCAGCGCAGAGATACTACCAGAGGCGGAATTGGAGGCACGCCGTGCCCCCTCCAATGCCGACCTATGGACTCTTTACACTGATGGCGCCGCTAACGCCTCGGGATCGGGACTGGGACTCGTTCTCGAGGTCCCCACGGGCGAAACAATTCGCCAGTCCATACGATGCCCCGAGATGACTAACAACGAAGCCGAGTACGAGGCTGCTATTGCAGGTCTGAAACTAGCCATCAACTATGGAGCTCGACGACTCGTTCTCCATTGCGACTCTCAGCNATGGCCTAAGGCCATACCAAGTTATACTAATGGCCTAAGGCCATCGCCGCCAACGGTCGACCTAGATTCGACTAAGGTGAGTAAACGACTCGACGACAGTCGAAGTCGCCTACATGGCTAAGGCCATCAATTATATTATGGCTAAGGCCATCGCCGTCAACGGTCGACCTAGATTCGACTAAGGTGAGTAAACGACTCGACGACAGTCGAAGTTGCCTACATAGCTAAGGCTATCAATTACATTATGGCTAAGGCCATCGCCGCCAATAGTCGACCCAGATTCGACTACGGTGAGTAAACGACTCGACGACAGTCGAAGTCACCTACACGACTAAGGCCATCAACTGTATAATAGCTAAGGCCATCGACGCCGATAAGTCGACCCAGCTCGACTATGACAGCAAGTAACTCGACGATAGTCGAAGTTGCGCACACGGCTAAAACCATCAACAAAACTAAGGCCGAAAATAAAGGGTACAGAAAGAAAATAGCAGCAAAAGTATAACTTCCATTATCATCCAAAAATGCATATACAAAAGGACCCATTTACATCTCTAAATACAGCAAAACAAAATGAATACAAGTCCTAAGGGGCTTCGACATCCTGATCACCGCCTCCCGACGGATCGCCATCTCGTCCACCGCCGTCCTCTGCCTGATAGGCCGCAGAAATCTAAGAGCCGGATTCTAGACGGTTGACATCTTCGAAGTTATAGCCCGCCCGGTCTAGGGAATCAGAACTATACCCACAAGTTTCACGAGCGACACGGACTATGCGTCGTTGCTCTTGAACCTCCGCCTCGGTGGCTCGACCCGCAGCTAAGAACTCCTCGAAGACGACCAATCTGGCCTCGGCGTATACCCACATATCATGCGCCTCACGATGCGCATCCTCATTGACGCAACAGTCCGCTTGAGGACTTCAATCTCAGCCGCCTTGGCATCGAGTTCGGAGGTCATGGCGGCAACCTTGATCCGCAAATCAGCAGCTTCCACCGCTACCCCACGGCCAACCTCCAACTCTTCTTCTTTAGACTGGAGAAGAGTCTCCAGCTCAATATTCCGGGCCAGGGCGGCCATCAGCTGCTCATCGATCTGCTCTAACTCGGCCACCCTCCGTTTCAGCTGGGCCTCCGACTGCTCCAGACCCTCACGGAAAACCCGAAATTCCGGGTCCTGCTTGAGTAGGTCCGCCGGCGCTTGATGCTTGACTCGGCACCGCCGATATTTCTTTACAGCCTTCCTTTGCGCTCGCCGCCCCCTCTCTATCTCCAAAATGAGAGCCTAAAAAAGAGGAAAAGGATGAAAGGCAAGTCAGCATGCATCAAAATTTATTTTACGATGCATGAAGAGAATCAAAAAATACCTGTAAGGCCGCACCGGCAACCCTCCGGGATAGTTCCCCGTCGCTAACCCCTTGTAACGTTTCACGCTCAACGGCCGCACATAGCAGGGTCATATCCGCTGCGGCCTGCTCGCTGTGTTCTAACAGGTTATACCCCCCCGGGATCAAAATTCGATGGTTGGATCTACCTACCGTCATCCCTACACGAGCCGGACCCCGCGTTGACGCTTCTGCATCTGCTTGGGCGACCTTAGGGCCCGCCCTCTCGGCATCATCGTCCGCCTCCCCAACGGCAGCCGACGAGCCGCTCTACGGAATGCGTGTTGGCCTGGCGTCGAGAACATCCCCCCCTATGAGGAGCCGACCTCCCGGAACGGATGGCATCCGCCATAAAAACTGGCCTTGACTCCCGACGGGGCTCGCTCGCCCCCTCATCTGCCGTGGCTATCCCCTTGCTGGTTATCAACCGACGTCTTTTTCTTTCCGGCGTCTCCTCGCTCTTAGAAGTCTCCTCCACAGCCCGAGGGGATGGCATCGAAGGAGTCGCTCCCCTCGCGGACGCCGCCACAGACAGCGGTTGGGGAATCTCCACGGCACCATCACTGGGCGAGGCGCAGGGTATGTATCCATCTTCAGAATCAGTTCCCGCCCCAGGTAAGATGACGACGCTCTTTTTCTTCTTCTTGGGGGCGCTCCGACCTGCCAACACGAACAAGTCAGGTAACGAATACGTAGGGAATCCCCAAACCGTAGCCAAAGAATTACCTGACGAGCCGTACTGTCGAAGAAATGCAGCCCAGGTACGACACTCCTCCGCATAGGGTATTATTCTTTCCACCCACGATTTAATGTCATCAACGAGCTGGGGTGGAGAAGCCCTCGCTGCGAATAAAAAAGAGAAGAAAGAAAAACAAAGGTCACAATGGCCGTATGGTCGAAAGCGCAAGCAGCACTGGAATCTACAAGTAGAAATACTTACGTTCTGGATTCCATCTTTCCGGGAACCCCTCGGGATTCGACGCCAGGTGCTCCGTCCTGATGTAGAAATATTTACGCCAAAAGCGGTCGGTTGGGCTTATCATCGGCCTTAACGACCAAGCCCTTTGCGCCACGACCTTTCAACTGAAGCATGCTACCCCTCAGGTAACCAGCGCTGAGACCGAACTGAGGTGGTGGACCGAGACGCTAAGCATAAGTGGTCATGATACGGCACACCTTCAAGGTATAAGGAGTGAGCTGGGCCGGACACACATTGTAAAAACGGCAAAGCTCCTCCACCAGAGGGTAGACTGGAAGGTCGTAACCGATCAAGAACGGGTACTCATAGAAGGTGCAATATCCAGGCCGGTGCACATTGGCATAATCCGTCCCGGCCGGAACCATTTCCACGTGGTCCGGAATATGGTGCGTCTCTCGCAGATCATCTAAATGGGATTGTAGTAAAACGCTGTGCTCCCAGGGAAGATCAGGGCTTTTAGTTGGAAAATCCCTGCGAACGTGCGTCTCCTTCGGAAGGACGTTGTCGACGCTGAGAGGAACAAGGGCCTTCTCCGCCTTTTTCCCTTCACCACCAGAAGATGGCGGAACCCTAGACGGGGCATTATCTTTGGCCTTTTTATTATTCTGTCCGCATTTTGTCATGATTATACTACTTGAGAAACGAAGCACTGATGATAGGAAGTGTGGTTTCAACAGAAGTGGGAGAGTCCCTCACGAAATAACGGTTACAGGAAAGAAAGGCAAAGGAGTGTATCAGAAAATACTTTTCAGAGGCTTGAAAGTGGAATCAGATCAAACCTCTCTCATACTTATAAGGATAAGTTGCACAGGAATCGAAGAGTCATGATTCAAAACGTGCGCCGGAAACCAAAACGTCACTTCATCCTCTGAACCGCCTCGGGGGCAAATATAATGATGATGCATACAGGCGATGACATCATTCCAAAAAGGAAGCCACGCGTCAGCGGCTCAACAACGTCACATATTTCACTTCATTCATATTGCCGCCCCTGGTCGAGGTCAAATTCTCCTAAGCCGAGGTTCGTATTTCCGCCCGTCGAAGACGCCCACCGAACGCGTCTCCAACGAGCAGAGGGACTAACTGTATAGGGTCAAATTTGACCCTCAGTATCTCTACGCCAGTGGGTACGCCCAATGAGTGTACGCCGACCAACGTAGCGGGTACGACTCGGCCGTGAGGACAAAAGCGACATCGTTTAGAACTCAGCGTCTACACTAGGGAGACATTACCTATCTTTGTAACTTTTTGATTCTTTCGAGGAAGGTCTCCTATTATATAAAGGAGACCTCCACATTGTAAAAGGGGGATCTGATCTAATACAACTCTCTCATTTTTCTGGCTTTCTCTCTCTATATCTCTACTTCTTACGAAAATATCTTCTTGGTAAACATTGTCACTTTGCAATATTAGATCTACAACAATATTATCATCTTTGCGTCTCTAGGCTTATTATATTTGACTACGATTTACCCCTCTTCTATTTTTGATTGTTTTATCGCTTACAAAGTATATCGTTAACTTTTGAGCCAAACACAAACTATCTTATTCTTATTTTCTTTCTAATTTGTATATCTTACTAAGTTTGTGGGGTTTAAGGCGTTAAAGCTTTGATATAGATGTCCGTTCATCGAAAGCAAGTAGAAGAGCAAGATAAAAGGAGTGCCTATACCTTCTTAAATAAAAGAAGGTTAAGAATGGACAAACTTGGATTTCTCACGGCATCACGGCTAAAAATTGATGGACCCTATTTATTTTATGAAGTAAAAAGTCCTTTCTCCTTTTTTGAAAAAAAAAGTTCTTGCTTCCTTGCATACACATACTTTTGTGTACCTTCTTTTCCAAATTAATTAGATGTAGCTGAGATCTTTGTTGCATTCAAGCTGGCTAACTTTGGATCTAAAGATCTTTGTGTTCTCTTTTGAACATTGAATGCTCCTTTACACGATTTTTTCGATCAATGGAGTTAAAATATAAAAAAAAAATATTATATGTATACATTTAATTATTATCTAACTACACTAGGTAGTTAACACCTTGAACAAATTCGCCACAATTATTTTTACTCATCCAGAGTCGGTCAAAAAAAACACGGGGGATAATTTAACATGCGGCAGTAGAGTGGCTTGTCAGCCAAAAATATCAGAAAATAGGATATATAATCTCCATGAGTCACCGCTAGCGCAAAGTGGACTTGTTAGCTCTCGACGAGTGTCCTTAATTCTGCATGCTTATCCATTTGTCTCGCATAACGATGTCTCCTTAAAGTATATAGTCATCACTTGCTGCACACAAAGCATCACTAAGTTGAACCAGACTATTTAACAGTAAACGCCCCCTCACTGCTCTTTCTATAGCTTTTCATTTCTTTTTGCTATCTTGCATTATGGCGTTCAGGTATTCGGTAAGTCCACAGTTACTTAATTCCTCGAGTTAAATTAGATTGTTCGTAGTACGTGTTACACAGACATGATCTCTTGTCAATCTATGTTCTACCTTTGCAGAGTTTGTGGAAATCTATGGCTACTCGTCTTAGCGGAAATCCTACATTTGCAAAATCTAATTTTACCAAACTCAGGTCATATGCCACTGCTGCTGAGCATCCAGACGCTAAGCCAAGGTAAATTTTTGTAATTAATTAGCACCTGTGTTGCAAAAATATTGGAGGTAAAGTGCAATATATAATAACTTGATGTTAATTAAACTTGAAATAGGGGATTGAAAGGAGAGTTCTTTCCCGTGTATGTGGCACTGGGACTAATAGCAATGTCAGTGGGTTTTGGGGTACACACAGCCACGCATCAGCTGAAGCGTTCGCCCAATGTGTCTGTGAAGAAATCAAGAAGGGAAACTGTACCAGAGGTGGCTGAACCGGACAATGTGTTGAATGATTCCGACAGTTTTATTAAAAAATCTTTTTTCAGAAAAGTGGCTCATGTTCAGGATTTTGATAATCAATCTGTCATGCCAGATCCTATGCGCGGGGATGTTCTAGCTAGGTACTTCAATAGTCTTATAGCAAAGACTTTGCTATATTTTTCTATATTCTTGCAATTGGGTTACATAGCGTGAAATGTGCTTTAATTTCTGATTTTATTGGTGCGATTATTGTAGGGAGACTCACTCTGAGACGTTGAGATCTGTGGGAGTGAATCCGAATCCAAAATTGCACTGAGCTATTTATGCATTTGTGGATTCAAGTAGATGGTGTTATATCCGCCAGCTTTTGATCCGAGATTTTCATATGGAGATTCGAAGATGGTGGCGATGTTTTTTTCTGACGTTTTGATGAGAGAGTTGCATAAATAAAACTTTTGCAGAAAACAAATATATTCTACCTTTCAGGAATATTGTACATATCTGCTTTAAATAAAAATAAAAATGGATCTTTCTTTTTAAAGCATACCATGAATGTTGCCTCAGTAGTGTCACAGTGTGCCTAACTCTTATATCCTGCCTGTGTCATCCCTGGGTGGGAGGTCCATCAAATACGTGTAGAATAAGGAAACAATTCCCGCTAGTCTCCGTGTTTAATAATTGACACTTTTATAAGCTAAAGCATTGAAATTTGATGGGATACTTATCTGATTTAATTTAAGTTTGATTTTAACCGAATCTTTCGGTTATGTACTTCTCGCAATTGGCTCTTCGTTGCTTTGTACGAAGTTTAGCGACTCAAACCAGACGTGAACTGAACTCCATGCTAATATGTGAACTCCGTTGACTTGAACTCCATGCTTATTTGTTACTTTGAGATTAGATGTTAATTAGTACATTTGTCCACACGTCGTACGGTTATAAAAATAATAGTAAATTTAACATATGCATATTTGAGTTTAATTTTCCAAAATTTTTGAATGTTTCTCAATATATGTGAAATAATAGGGAAAAAAAGAAAATAAAAAACAAATAAATTTCGTCCATCTACGATAAATATGAGAAGAAAATCAAAAAGAATACTCGCTGGAAAGTAGAGATGAGAAGAAAATTAAATAGAACATTAAAGTACCGAACAAAATTGAAAAGAAACTCGAGTTGATAAAAATGAGAAACATCTAACGTAAGCATTGATATCTAACAATTTCAAGGATGTTGGGATATCATAAAATCATAGATCTCTAACAATTTCTAGGATCCTAAGATATCATATGTGAGATTCATTTATCTCCAAGAAAAAACATCTGAGCACTTGAGCAAAAGCAATGGCATTGTTAACTTGTTTACTGAATCAAATGAAAAATCATCTATTCCATCTAAGCTAAATGTCTCTTGGATCAACTTCATCAACTTCCTAATAAAAAGAACTTAAATCATAAAATTATGACTTATAATAACATATTGGTACTAATTCAAACTTATGGTATAAAGTTAGTAATATAGAGCAAAGATCAGCATTTCAGTTTAACGGTATTACACATATACACATAGGATATTCAAGGTCATCAAATAGACAATTGTCAATGATGAGTATACTAAAATCAAAGGCTCAAAATTGCAACTCCAAATAACCAATTACTTAAATAGAAAGGAAAAAGTTTACAGCTTTGGTGCATTGCAGCAAGTAGCGAAAAAGGTAGCCAAAAAAGGAGATACGTATGCATAATGAGTAAATTCAAAATTTTCAATTTATGGTTTAAGCATTCAAGGCTCTTCTATTTAAATTTACTTTCATGTGGCAATTTAAAGGCACTGCCTATTCACCGGATTGTTGCACTTGAATAAAGAGTACCTTTATGAGGTATGATGTTATGCTTCTCATACAAGTGTCAACGTAAAGGTGTAATATTTAGCTAATTCTATTAATTAATTGCTTAAAAGTTGCTATTTTATCTCAACCAATGTCCAATACATCAATCTGAAAGCTTGAATGGATCTCCTTAATGAGAAGATTAACAAGGGTTGAGTGGAGTATAAGTATTTTCCTTCTCGTTTTTCTTTTATATTCATTTCAAATTATGGGAAGTCTAGAAATCTCTGTGTTTTTACTTGAAACACCTGTTTATCATAGCTCAAAGCCTCAAATAATAGAGACTCATATAGAATCAACGAGAACTAACAAGCATATTGATAGTAGGCTATAATTATGTAGTTTAGCTACCATTTACACTCCAACTTAGCTATACTTTATTGATATATGAATGTTAAATGATAACAAATTGCTCTAATTAAGAACTTTGTGCTTTATAGGAGCAATTCCTGGCTATGAGGACATTTGAGAGTGTTTTGGAGTTAATCTGGAGCAAGGATGGCCAATCGGAGGTGAGCTCGCGCAAAAGAAGAAAGAAAACTGAAGGCAGAAATATTCTCCAGGTGCGCGGCCCATCCGCGGCCGTGCACTGACCGCGCTCATCAAGCAGAACAGAAGGCAATATGCGCGGCCCATCCGCGGTCGCGCACGTCCCTCCGAGGATTTTTATTTCAGGGGTAAAATTGTAAGTTCCGAGGAGACTCTCCTTGACCTATAAGAAGCCCAGCTCGCCCAAAAAGTTAGTATCGAGGTTTTTGAAGGGATTTTGAAGGCAAGAACAGGCAAGAAGCAAGACGGAAGATTTGACATAGAGTTTTTACCTTTTCCTCTTGGTTTTATCATTGATGATGAATATATTGTTATGATTGGGAAAACGATTATGCATAGGTAAACTCCTAGTCTAGGGTTTTGATGGAACCTATTGGAGGATGATTTTCTTGTTATGTTAATATAAATTTGCCATAGTATTTTATCTATTTGTTCAACTATATTGTGATTGCTGTTGATTGAAGGCCCTCAATCGACTGTGCCTATTCAGTATGTATTACTCGGGAGAGAGTGCATATTTAGGTAGTTGTTGAACAACATCACTCCTAACGTATATGAGGGATCAATACGAAGGGTTGAAAGGTGGGATTAGGGATAACGAAACCTTGGGTGCGATCTAAGTGAGCTGTAATTAAGGCTAGCTAGCGTAATTCCGGAGAATATGTCTAGTATATTATTATAATTACTCGGGAGAGAGTTACGACAGTCAGAGTGCTCATGATCGATAGAGAAGACTTAGGCAAATTTATAGCAAACATAGCGGAAAGGCTTCCGACAATAAGGGAAGTCAGAACCTTAGATCATTCCAATTCTTGTTTATGAACCGTTCATAGTTAGTTCTTAATTACTGCATTTTCATTACGTAATATTTAGTTAGTAAACATCCAATCTATTACTTAAATATCTCCGAAGATTGAATATGTGAATTTGTGTAAGTCTAATAGTTGTGATTGATAGGTTAATTCCCTGTGGGATTCGACTCCGGACTTGTTAACCGGAATATATTTGCAGCGACCGCTTTGTCCTTTTTATAAGGCATAGTTAGGCATGATCGAATTTTGGCGCCGTTGCCGGGGAATTAGCGGTGTTATTGATTGCAGTTATAAGAACTGCAAAAATTCTTAGTGTATTTAATTTTCTTCAATTCAAACTGATTACATTGAAATTCTAACGTTTGTAATCTTGGGTGCTACAGGTGCATGCCTAGAAACTCCTCAAGAACTGGTGAATTGTTTGAAGCATTATCAGATCCTGAGAAAGTCTTCAAGGCATTGAATCGTGCAAACAAGAAGGGCAAACAAAAACGGAACTCAACAGAACAAATCGAACCAGACATGGAAGACGACAATCTAAACAACAGAAATAATGAGAATGACCCAAGCAATCAGGGTGTGGTGCCGCTTGTGCCAGAAGCAGCATTGTACGATTGGGCACAACCCACCGCTGACAACTTAGCAACTGCCATTGTAGTCCCACAGATACAAGCAGATTCATTCCAAATCACAAATAACATGCTACATTTGTTGCAGAACAAGGGACTGTTCTCTAGGTCATACGTTGAAGATCCTCGGCAGCATCTGAAGAATTTCCTGTCAATCTGTGCCACGCAGAGGCAATATAACGTGACACCGGAAGCAATACGACTGTTGTTGTTTCCATTCTCAGTGACGGGAGCGGCTCACACTTGGCTTAGTTCACTCCTCATAAACTCCATCACTACTTGGGAGGAATTAGTCAAGCAATTTGTGAACAAATTTCACCCACCCAACAAGACTGCTCAACAAATTGATGAGATATTGAGCTTCAGACAGAAACCAACAGAGACATTACAAGAAACGTGGGAGAGATTCAAGGGTCTGCTGGTTACGTGTCCACATCATGGTATTCCAGAGCAGTTGTTGGGGCATAGATTTTACATGGGTTTGGCAGATAGCTTGAAGGCCAATGTTGATGCTTCAGCAGGTAGAGCATTTTTGAGAAAAACTTTCAGAGAAAGCAAGATCCTACTTGACAAGATGGCACAAAACTCTAGATGGACAACAAGAAACGCTCCAATCACTTTTGTAGTCCACTCAGTGGCGTTAGACCCAACTAACTCCATAGCTGAAAATATGGCCACTCTACTGACACAAATGAGCATCCTCACCAAAAAGGTTGATGAATCAGGCCAGAAGCAGCAGGTACACATAGTTGATGCAACTAATGGGGGTTTATGTACATCATGCATTAATCAACCATATGTCTGCTCATGGAGTGTTGAAGGTGATAATAACAATATCAGGAGAACATGAATTATGTGGCTAACTATGGGGGTCAGAGGCAAGGTGGTCAGAATTGGGGTCAGCAGAATCAACAATATTGACCAGCTCAGCAGCAGTACAACAACAGCAATAATCTTGGGGCTATGCGACCACAGGGTCAAGTGGTGCCTTACCAAAGGCAACAGGGGTACAACTAGCAAAATCAGCAGCAGACTTATCAATAACCTCAACAACAATATACTATGAGACACGAAGATGGGTTTGCTAAACTTGAGGGAATGATGCAACAAATGATTGGGTCCATTGGGAAACTAACTGACAGAGTAGACTCACATAAATCGGCGATAAAGAATATTGAGATCCAATTAGGACAGATTTCAATGGCTTTAAATAATCGTCCCCACGGGACGTTACCCGTAGACACATAAATCAATCCAAAAGAGCAGGGCCCGAAGTAGCTTATGGCAGTGAGTATCCGAAATGGTAGAGACCTAGATCTGGAGCAAGAAATTTCTCGCGAAAGCAGACCGACTGAGACACCGGTGCCAGTACCCATTGACATAGATGAATCAGCAGGTTTAACTGAGGTGACGGTACAACATGTGCAAGAAGACGCCAACAAAGAACAAGAGGTTGTGAAAGGGAATGAGGTTGCACCGAAACCGATAGTAGAAGCAGTGCCTGAACAAGAAAAAAATCAAATCACAGGGAAGCAGCGACCTCCAGCACCATTCCCACAGAGATTGGCCAAGTATCAGAAAGATGAGCAGTACAAGAAATTTTTGGAGATGTTGAAGCAAATTCAAGTAAACATTCCATTGATTGATTCTCTAAAGGAGATGCCTAGTTATGCGA